GCAGCATACACAGGTGACTAGATGAGTAATTGTAGTCCTGGCTTGCAAGGCGAATACAGGCCTGTGTGCAAGTCGATGATCACTGTCAGTTAGCCACGCAACGCATAGGCAAACTGATCTACAGACCGACAAAATCAAAAGACATTCTAAATTTATATCTTTTGAAGTTTTGGGGAGATAGGAACCTTATCACGGCAAAACAAGCTACGAATGCATGCTCTTTATCACCATCGTCAATCAAGACTCGGAGTTTCCACTAACCAGTTTTTGGATACATGTGGAACAAAAGTAGAAAAGTGTTGATGAATAGTAAAAGTTCGCACATCTTTACTCTCAGAACTCAGGTGATTCATTCCGCTACATAATTATAATGTACATGGGGATGCAGAGCATGATGATAGGTGTTATCGGCTGTCAGTCTCCCCTGAATACGAAGTGAACGAATATGAACTGAGATTGTGATCAGCTTTTTATAGCTTAGACTTAGTTAGAGCTGCGTCTCGAGCGTCGGTGTACGACTAAAACGCTCGCTGTCACTTTTTTTCTGTTCTGCAAGGTTGTGATGCAATACTAAGCGTAGTCCGCACGTGTGCCCGCTCCATGGCTGATATTATTATTTTTAAGAGCTACGAACTCGGGATGTCAAAGCGGTTTTCTGGCAAAGTTAGTTCCGTGATGACAGCATAGTACTGCCACGAGACATTGACACCTTTAGCAAGCGTCACTTTCTCTCCATAGACGTGTCCATTCATTTAGTGGATGCACAAGTACGTTAGAAGCTTCACTGCACATCGTACTGAGCGGAGAAATGAATGAAAAACAACGGCTGTACTAGCAGCACCAGCTGGCCAGGACATTGAAATAATAATAATTGAAAGCGTGAAACTCCCCGATATACATGTGGGTACACGACGTTTTCCGTACCACGTGTTCTGTTGTCCGGGTCCAATTCCAAGATTCCATAACCACAGCACAAAGTCATGAACAACACCAAGCCAACGTAATTTATGCAGTCATATTTCCATACACCTTTGACGTTCCTTACACACCAACGAAGGCATAACAAAAGCAAGGTTCAGACAAAACACTGACGTCACTTTGACTTGACGGGAATGCGACGCAAATACGAACGCTCATGAAGACGGTATCGCACGGGATTGATTGATGGCTGTACTGTTGAGAGTATAGGGTAAGTGAACGCGGACATAGTCATTGTGGACAACCAGGAGGTCGAAACTTCTTGAATCTTCCAACAAGGAAGAACGTGACAAGACGCTTACACATTTTCCGTGTGCTTGTTGACCACTTTCCGCGTCCAACTGACCGCCTCCTGTAAGCAACGTGATACGCACGGGTCTACGGGTCTATGCTCCGCAGTCCCCACATCATGATCAAGCCCATGGGCACACGTAACTGTCGTTGGCACACCAGTCCGTACAGAGGTGGTTACGTCGAATTTCTGATCTCTTTCAACATTGAGCAGGACACATGCGAACACTGCATACAACCAGCAGTATTACCCAGAGAGTTGACCTCGCTGTATAGCATACCTGAGCTGACAAGTGAATGGTCACTGGGAAGTTAGTCACGCAACACATAGGTAAACGGATCCACAGACCGACTCAATCAAAAGGCATAAAATTTATATCTTTTGGGGCGACAAGAACCTTATCACGGCAAAACAAACTACGAATGCATGCTCCTTATCAGCTTCATCCGTTTCCACTAACCAGTTCATGGCCAGTTTCATCAAATGAAATGCATGTGGAACAAAGTACTGACCATACAGTACAGTCGACTCCACTCATGACTGAAAACTTGAAAAGGCCTCTCACTCCACTTATAACGAACTCACATATAACGAATTTCGGGATATAGCGAACCATTGTCTATTTCCCTGTTTGAACCCATACAAAATTGAAGCTTTACAGTGAATAGTATTCGATTATAGCGAACCAAATCTTGTATGGCTGCATGACAACCAAGTGCAGTCATACCGTCCTTCGCCACATGTCAGTCATGATAAGTTCATGCTTGTATAGTGTGAGTGCATTTCTGTTATAGCGAACTTCGGCTATAAAGAACTGATTGTCGTGCACAATGGTGTTCCATACAACAACGCGTTTCAATTGCTCTACAGTCGAGTACTGATATTATCTGGAGTCGGCTGTAGAGCATTTGAAACGTGTTGTTGAATAGTAGACGTTCTCACAACTTACTCTCCGAACTCACGCCATTCATTCCACTACATAATATAATGTACATGAAGATGCACAATATGAATCGATTATACCAATTACTCGTTAAGCGATCGATAATTCCTTATCAATCAAGTAATCGTTACGTTATAGATTGCTCGTTAGGCATTTTGAGTCCAAAAAGTACTGCAAACCCTCGTTTACGTGAAGTTTGAATCAGTTTCCGCTGTGAGTATGCAGTTGCCAGGGGTATGGTGCATAAAGTGCCATGTTTCCGAGCTACCCTATCAATAATTCAGATTTTGGTATCATGAAGGCCTAGCTTTTGGAAACAGAGTAATTTTTGCACAAAATTCTGACACTATTTGCTAACGATTATAATCGATTAATCAATCGTTAAGCTAAAGCGTAATCGATAGGTGAAAATCCACGATCGTTTCAGCCCTAAATAATTATGATGATCAGCGTTTTTGCCATGTGAGGGTATACAGCTTTTATTGTATTCCTGTTCCTTTTTTTAAAAGGGGTCGAAGGCGGATAATTCCCAATGAAGGTGCATTGTAAGTATTAGGTCGCAAATATCCACGCAAGCACACACACACATCCAGTCAAATAGGGCACTTGTCTTTCCACATTGAGCCATTCCCTGTACAATCCTTCTTTTTTTATGAAAGAGCACATGCCTTGATGAGAAGGGACCTGTTTTTTTGTTTTTGTTTTTCTCACTTTCTCTAGTTTTTGGTTTGCTCCTTCTTTTTCCTTTTTATCGCCTTATGATCGGTTTTTCGGGCCTCTTTCTTGTAGTACATTGTACTGTTGAGCCACCGAAGTAACATCAAATAAATACAATACAATACAATGCAGTGGAGGGTGTTGTCGGCTGTCAGTCTCCCCTGAATACGAGGTTCCGCACGGACACAAAAACTGAGGTTGTGATCTGTTTTTTATAGCTTAGAGCTGTGTCTGGAGCGTCGGTGTACGACTAAAACGCTCACTGTCACTTTACTGTTTAGCATACTTGTGATGCTTTACTAAGCATAGTCCGCACGTGTGCCCGCTCCATGGCTGATATTATTTCAAGAGCTACGAAATCAGCATGTCAAAGTGGTGTCGTGGCAAAGTTCCGAGATGACAGCACGTCACTGCCACGAGACATTGACACCTTTAGCAAGTGTCACTTTCTCTCTGTAGACGTGTCCATTCGCAGTGGATATACATGTACATGATAAGCTTCACTGCACATCATACGGAACGGAGAAATGAATGAAAAACAACGGCTGTACTAGCAGCATCGGGGCATTGAAATAATAATTGAAAGCTTGAAACTCCCCGATGTACAAGTGGCTACACAACTTTTTCCGTACCACCTGATCGGTTATCTGGGTCCGATTTCAGGATCCATAATCACAGGACAAAGTCATGAACAACATCAAGCCAACGTTATTAATTTGATGCATTCATTCTTCCAGGAAACTTTGACGTTCCTTACACAGCAATGAGGGCAGAGCCCCAGCAAGGTTCAGAAAGAAGACTGACTGGGCTTTGACTTGACGGGTAATGTGACGCAAACACGACCACTGACGAAGACGGTATCGAATGGGATTGATTGATTGATGGCTGTACAGCTGAGAGTATAGGCTAGGTGAACGCGGACATAGTCATTGCGGACAACCAGGAGATCGAAACTTCTTGAATCTTCCAACAAGGAAGAACGTGACGGACGCCTACACGTTTTCCGTGTGCTTGTTGACCACTTTCCTGGTCCAACTGACCGCCTCCTGTAAGCAACGTGATACGTACGGGTCTACGGGTCTATGCTCCGCAGTACCCACATCATGATCAAGCCCATGGGTGCACGTTGGCACACCAGTCCGGACAGAGGTGGTTATGTCGAAATTCTGATCTCTCTCAACATTGCACAGGACACATGCGAAAAATGCATACAACCAGCAGTTTTACCCAGAGAGTTGACCTCGCTCTGCAGGACACCTCAGCTGACATGGGGAAAGTTCCCGAGGCGGAAAAGCAGTCCCATCTAGATAACCATTTTCCGTGTGGGACGAGCGGATTGCTGGGTCCAAACACCGGTCAGCATAGAGAGCAAACCACGGCCCTTACACCAGAGAGGCAATGATATTATCTTGCGAAACACTGATATTACTAAAGCCAGTTACCTGGATAAATTCTACGAGCTGTATGCAACCTCTCTGTCCACGTTGATAAGAGCAGGTTGGTAATTCCGCAAGCATCCTTCAGGAGAAGAAATTCTGCACCAAGTTAGGTGGATAAGCCCGGCTCCACCACATCAATATAATTATTCTAAACCAGTGTGTCAAGAACATAGGGCGACATAAGAATAGAATATAGCTTTCAAGCTTTTTCCGCAGTTGGAAAATTTGAAAAATCCAGCCGTGGAAATTTGTTATCACAATGCCGAGAATGAAGTTATTTTATACCAAATTTAAATCATTGTCTAAGTCTCTCTTCATGTTCCGAACTGCTATTCTATGAAACTGTTTACCCCCCAGTCTAACATCGGAAGCCTCGCTCTATTAGTTCAAAGCTGCCCTCAGGAAATTTACAGCTGACTATGCTTATGCAATCAACGGAATTCCGCCACCTTGCAGTTGATTTTCCCCATTTCTCTCCTCATCAATCCCTACTTGTCTTTGTATATACATCTACATCTACTGTTCTTTCAATCAAATGAACCTCTCGATAGGCACATTGCCTTTGGGTCATTTCATAATAATAATAATAATAATAATAATAGAGTTTGGGGGCTAGCGTTCTGCAGAAGCGTACAATGAAGGACATATCCCATCATTATTACAAGCCTTTCCGAGTTTGGAACACCAAGCAAGCTTGGCTAGCCTTCGCCCAAGGCGAACAGAAGTGAAGAAATGAGGAATGAGCGGGGTTTTAACATTATAACGTGCATATATGCTTGCAAATAGAGAGGTTCTGCACAACGAAAGTTCGAACGAAGTTTCGCGACAGGCCTTGCGAAAGTGTGTACGAATTTTCGCACGAACTTTGTGTTCTGCACATTTTCGTAGTTTGCACGCGCCAAGTGCACGTACGACATGACCCAATCTCACGAAACTTCCTACGAAAGTTCATTTCGCGTTCCCTGCAAGTTTCGCGTCCAAAGTTGCGAAAGTTCGTGCGAAGTTTCTCACTTCGTGACGTAGAGCGAAAGTTCGTACACATTTTCGTTTTGCAGAACCTCTCTATTGAAGAAAAAGCAACGCGTGAGCATTTAAAGGAAGACCTGTACGCACACGGAAAGTAAACTATAACCAATAGAAACACATATTGTGTCAAATATGGAAAGCATGGATCTTCTCAATTTATTTGTTTTATCCAAGTACACAACCTTACCAAAGACATTTGTCAAACAATACAGTTGAATTGATAGTAAAGGCTATTATTTGGATGTTCCGTTGGGGTAGGCTAGGCTAGGGGGACATATCTAACCACAATGGCTTGGACTACACATACAAATAATCACTTCAAAGGGATTGATCCAGCAGGGGCTGTGAAAGCCACTGGACGACATGCTTCAAAACGTCTCACCCCCTCGCAACTGCAGCATGCACATTTCCGGGGTGAGGTAGTAAAATCCAATCGAGTTCATGGAGTATGCAACGGGTGCTATGCAGCCTTAGACCTGTGAACACTGGGCCGAGTACTAGCGCAGGTCGCACACCTGGTCTACACGGCTGGATTTCATTCGGCAGAATGGTACTCAGTACAGTGTGCTCGTTCTTACACGAAGCCCAGAGTAGCTGCCTAAATTTATTGGGGTTCATTGAGTGATCTGAATTGATGAAGTCCGATGCTCACGTTTGAATCAAGTCTCACCAGTGTGCAGCAGCCCAGAGCAGTTGAGTATTCCTGCGTTTCAATCCTCCAGACAAGCACCACCTGGAGTTTGCGGCTCAGATGGTTCATCCTGTGCAGTATCTGCTTGTCTCCATGTCCACACCCAACCTAGGCCATTGCTCACAGCACCAGAAATGCCATCAACACAGCCTGCAAGAATCTCTCCGTTACCAGCAACCTAAAGCAGAAAAACATCAAATAGAAGAATTGAACATCCATGCAACAATAAATGCACCCGCTACTCCACCTGCCATATCATGCACAAATGCTTGAAAGTATACTGAGCAGGGAATAAACAAATAATTGTGTTGGTGCGTTATAGAAATGCTACTAGAGACCAGTGCAAATTCTCTGGTCATTGGTCATTGCAAAATTCTGTTAGTGTGTTGAAGAAATTCTGCTAAACAGTAGAGCAAATATAGCAAGAGAGAGAGAGAGAGAGAGAGAGAGAGAGAGAGAGAGAGAGAGAGAGAGAGAGAGAGAGAGAGAGAGAGAGAGAGAGAGAGAGAGAGAGAGAGAGAGAGAGAGAGAGAGAGAGAGAGAGAGAAAGAGAGAGAGAAAGCGAGAGAGAGAGAGAGAGAGAGAGAGAGAGAGAGAGAGAGAGAGAGAGAGAGAGAGAGAGAGAGAGAGAGGGGGGGGAGAGAGAGAGGGGGAGAGAGAGGAAAAGGGAGAGGGAGAGAGAGAGAGGGAGAGAGAGAGAGAGAGAGAGAGATAGACGGAGAGGGAGGGAAGGAGAGAGAGACAGAGAAAAAGAGAAACAGACATACAGAGAAACAGACAGAGACAGAGGCATCGAGAGCCAGGGACCAACAGTCAGAGACAGTGTGTGTGTGTGTGTGTGGGTGTGTGTCGGAGGGAAGGAGATCAGATATGAACATATTTTTAAAAGACTGTTACTAGTCTCATTTAACGATCACATCTTACCTCATGCAGGTCTGGTGACTCATCCTTTGGTGATCGCGAGATCGTTCTCTGCGGGGAAGACAATAACGAAATTCACATTCAGCATTCGGCCTTAAAAGGGAGAATGGAAATGATAGTTTGCCGATGACCGTGTTACGTAAACTGACCTGTATGCAGAACTTGAGTGTTCCTCCTAAGGAACTAGGTATCTTGTTCCACCAGCCCAGGATGATGATGTTACGATCCAGCATACGCAAGCGCAAACTTTCCAATTTGGCATCTCCGAGCCACTTTGTGGCTTGGCAGTAACCGACAAAGCAGAGAAAGATGATGCTGAAATCTGTAGGAGCAGACACAGCATGAAGGCAACACTTTATCTTCAGCGCCATGTTTCTGACTGGCACAAGGCAGTTTTTCAATGCAGCTGGGGTCTGCTGGGGTCTGCGAGCAAAATGATTCTCATAATTATAATCCAGGCATGCGGCACCAAAAATAAAAACGTGTTTTTTATGAAGCTGGCTTCTGAAAACAAGATTCCCGCACGTAGTACATGCACAGACAATCACCGCCAGAGATAAGCGTCTGTGCCAACCAGGTGGTGATTCGCCCTTGTTTGAAGTGTAGCACTGTTAAAAATCACATACTGGAAAAGTAACAATGATTCATGACCTCATCGTCACTTCACATGACAGCATGGTGACAACTTATTGCACCATAGTAAGATACAAACAAACAAAAGTACATGCCTGATAGTTGGGTCCCCAACATGGACAAAGGAAAAAAAAAAAAAGTAAATTATCGTGTCCGTTCCCGAACTCACGACGGCCGCTAACACCCGGTAAATCCTAGCGGCAGATGCAGCGCCTAACGGTGGGGGTGAGTGGATAAGTCTCACAACCACTGGCACAAGTGCCGAGAACGACCCCATTAGCTGCATGGACAAAGGAAAGCCCAACTCAAATACCCACGGTCATGTAACACTCAGTAGGATTGAATTATACACATCCATCAGAATTGCAGCGAGCTGTATGATCAACACGCAAACCGTTCTGGCGCGATTAGAGCCCTCTCTCGAATAGTGCCCCTGTCTCCAAGTGTCAGTGAAAATATACAGCCCTCTCCGGAATAGCCCCCCCCCTCCCCCTCCCTGGGCGTGTAACCAACCGCAGGTACATCTGTGATGGACATTGCAAAAAAATAGTTCCCCCCTTCCCCTCCCCCAGGGGCACTCATCGTGAGAGTACGGTATGCAGCTCCTGCTTCGAAATCACACACAAAACAATTTTTTTAACTCCGATACTCAGCCAGCAATAAATGTAAAAAAGAGAAGAAAACACATGAGAATGAGTTATGCAGCAACTATCCTATTATCGCACGTTTATCATCTCGTTACAGTCCCACATCGTTGCTGCATTACTCGTTCTCATGTGTTTTCTTCTCTTTTCTAAAACAAAAACAGATGTACCTTTCAGAGCCTCAATGTTGGCAGAGAGCGCATGCTCATCAGCATCATACCAGTCGAGCAAAATGGCAGCCGTGATGCAGCCACTCTCCGTGAGGGAACACATGTCATTCACCTGCTCCACCTTGCCTCCATGGTGAGTCTGCAGGGAGACACTGGTCTTGATGGAACCTTCAGGTACGTGGTCCTGGAAGCTTCTTGCCTGAACACCAACGCAAACATCAATACCCAAAGACATGTGCAAACACATATGATGTACACAGCCCAAGACATGTGGAAACACATATGATGTACACAGCCCAAGACATGTCATGTAAAGTAAAGTTTGCACGTCCGCGTTAGCACCGGCTATACAATTGTATTGAGAACACACAGCCAGCTTAGAGCATGTGCACGGACAGAGCATGAAACACGCAAAGAAACAACCACATGCGCACATACTTGCAGATGCACACACACGTACACACACACACGTACCCCCCCCCCCCCCCCACATCCACCCCCCCCCCCCCCCCCCCCCCCCCCCCCACACACACATACACACCCCCCCCCCCCCCCCCCACACCCATACAACGGGCAAGGCACACACTTGTACGTACCATGTTCTCTGATCCGGTCATGTTCAGAACGTGGAAATGGACATTTGGTGTGCTCTGATCGGGGATTTCCCTTGGAGCATCCTCGATGTTGATTTTTACCCAACCATCTTGGTGCGCCTTGTCATCAGTCACATGCCCCGTGCTGCTTTCAGTTTCGAACATTCCTGCATCACGCCGGTCATGGTCGCTAGTTGTTTCGACCATATCGGTTTGAGATACGACGGTTTCAGAATCCTCGGGTGTGTTGTCGTGAGTCGTTTGCAGAGTGCCAGTTGGGGTCACGGAGATTTCAGCACCTTGGCGTCCATTGGCGATAGGAACTTCCGCCATGGCGCTACGAGATTGGACATTCTCTGTATTCGCCGGCGCAGTATTGGCCACTGATTGGCTCGTGCTACCTTGCAATGCGGCGCTTTCAGTGTCTTCGTGGACATCACCGTCCATTTCCTGCACTCTGTCGCTCTGAGACTCGGGATCTCTGGCATTCTGACGTGAGTGGTCGACAGTGGCTTGTGCCGCATCCGTTTGGCACTCGTCAGGTTCTCCATGGGCAGTGATAGCTTTGGCCAGTGTATCGCCACGAGTAACCGTGTCCCTTACAAGGTAAAGTATGGTCTGTACCATGCCATTTGACCACTTCGTCAACTGGACACTCTGTGCGAGAGAAAGACAGCTACTAGCAATAGTGGCGAGTGATACAGCCAACTGTACTTCAGGCATATTCCATGTCAAGCCAGTTGGCATGGAAACTGCCTTTCCAGACTCATCCAGATGTTTGCCACATGTGCTTACATCACCAGATGGAGTCGAGGGGTTGGAACAGAATTCGCACGGGTCACCGCCGGGAAGAAGAACAAGAGAGAGATCCTCAGCTTGATCACCGGTCACACCAAGAAAGACGTCGATTGCCACGAGCTGCTTGCACGATACTTTCTTCCACCAGCTTAGCACCAGTCCAGTGCCCGAGTCATCGAAGAAACATGCATCCAGTGAGCACTCGAGGCAATCCATGATCTGGAGTGAGCAGAGCCTTGTCCCAAGAACTTTGCTGTACTCGTCACGGCATGCAATACAAACTGTAGCAGAGGGGAGAGAAGAAAAGACAGGAAAGGGAAACACAAGGTTTGCGGAGAAATGAAGATCAGGGACACCGTCACACTTACAGGGAGAGGAGAGAGATTGGGGAGGGTGAGAGAGTTATTGGGGAGGGTGAGAGAGAGATTGGGGAGGGAGAGAGAGAAATTGGGGAGGGAGAGAGAGAGATTGGGGAGGGAGAGAGAGACTGGGGAGGGTGAGAGAGACTGGGGAGGGAGAGAGAGAGATTGGAAGGGAGAGAGAGACTGGGGAGTGAGAGAGAGAGACTGGGGAGGGACAGAGAGAGACTGGGGAAGGAGAGAGAGATTGGGAGGGAGAGAGAGACTGGGGAGTGAGAGAGAGAGACTGGGGAGGGACAGAGAGAGACTGGGGAGGGTGAGAGAGATTGGGAGGGAGAGAGAGACTGGGGAGTGAGAGAGAGACTGGGGAGGGACAGAGAGAGACTGGGGAGGGAGAGAAAGAGAGAGACTGGGGATAGATAGATAGATAGATAGATAGATAGATAGATAGATAGATAGATAGATAGATAGATAGATAGATAGATAGATAGATAGATAGATAGATAGATAGATAGATAGAGAGAGAGAGAGAGAGAGAGAGAGAGAGAGAGAGAGAGAGAGAGAGAGAGAGAGAGAGAGAGAGAGAGAGAGAGAGAGAGAGAGAGAGAGAGAGAGCGAGAGAGAGAGAGAGAGAGAGAGAGAGAGAGAGAGAGAGAGAGAGAGAGAGAGAGAGAGAGAAAGAGAGAGGGAGAGAGAGAAAGAGAGAGAGAGACTGGGGAGGGAGAGTGAGAGAGAGACTGGGGAGGGAGGGAGACTGGGGAGGGGGAGTGAGAGAGAGAAGGAGAAAGAAAGAAAGTGAGAGATAGATAGATAGAGAGAGAGAGAGAGAGAGAGAGAGAGAGAGAGAGAGAGAGAGAGAGAGAGAGAGAGAGAGAGAGAGAGAGAGAGAGATGTAGAGAGATCGACGCAAGGATTGATAAAAAGTAATACCTGTATTTCAGCAAAGAATGATAATATTATTTATTAAGTAATCTAAAAAAGAGGGTACCAGGGGCGTCGGACACGGTACGGTCACTACGATATTGACCGTACCACTTTTTGCCCCAAGTACCCTGTGAATCAATAAAATACACTGATCTGGGCTCCAAGTTTCCAAAAATGTCTGCTCAGCAACCCCTCCCCCACGAGTAAATTGTACTTCAGGTAGCTGACCTTACCACACTAAAATACCTTTCGACGCCCCTGGTACAAATTATGAGATATGAGTGTACTCATGGATAACGGTGTGTTAAATGTGGTATCCAGATAGTAGCGCTTATGCGCAGTTTGCACCTGAAATGTAGCATGCATCCAGCAAACTTTACTGCAGCACGGATGGCGCAAGAAGCTATCCAAGAGTGCTGAATTTCGGCCATTTAAGACTGCTCACCTGCTTGGGTCTCCTTTAGCGCTGTGAAGACGGGCTTGAGTGTGTTACTCTCCTGGCTTATATCATGCGTGATTGCAAGGCGATTCGAGTCGTCCAGGCTCAAGCAGCCGTAGATGGCGGAGTGCTTGCCACGGTTCTCTTCGATCGCTCTGCCGACGTCACTGGCAACACGCTGAATGTCCTGCACAGACCATATGCCATCGAAGCGACACCATGTCACAGCCACAGTGCACTTGCTTTCCAACTCCTCCAGCACTGCCTGCACTCTGGCCCAAGACTGCAGGGAGCAAGACAGTGTACAGAGTGGCAGATAAACAGGGTGAGGGGGCAGTGAGAAAGAATTGACGTATTTTCCCGAGTATAAGCCGCACCTCCACTTTTTGCCACGAAATACGGACATCTAACCTACATGTATTTATCACTGTTAATTTGATCATCGGGGTGTAAGCCGTACCCCTCCTTTTTTGGTTGAGTTCTGAGTGTTCAAAGTGCTGCTTACAATCCGTAAAATACTGTACTTAGAAAAGAGGAGATTCGCAAGCCTGCGTACATGTACCTGGACACGAAGACCGGTGCAAATCTGATGCGGGCTGATGCACCAGCACTTGTACTTCAGAACATTCCTCAAATAAATGCAAGGTGATACTGTCAGTAAGGGAATACTTAATGAAGACAACATGGAGAACTTTACTAAGCTGAGGTGGTTTATCATCAGTGCCTCATCACTGCATGATCATCATAACATCGTCACTTGAGATGAACTGCTAGGCCAGGCAAAGCACTAGCGTTCTACTTCTAGTGTTGGCTTGCCATGCAGAACTAGCCCTGTTTGCATGGTGTTGCTGAACAATAGCATCATGCACAACTAGCCCTGTTTGCATGGTGTTGCTGAACAATAGCATCATGCACAACTAGCCCTGTTTGCATGGTGTTGCTGAACAATAGCATCATGCACAACTAGCCCTGTTTGCATGGTGTTGCTGAACAATAGCATCATGCACAACTAGCCCTGTTTGCATGGTGTTGCTGAACAATAGCATCATGCACAACTAGCCCTGTTTGCATGGTGTTGCTGAACAATAGCATCATGCACAACTAGCCCTGTTTGCATGGTGTTGCTGAACAATAGCATCATTTTACCATTCAGATTTCAATACAAACTAGGACTGATTGTTACTCCATGCATTATGTACAATACATACCTGTACGCGGCGACCTCACTCCCACAATGCCTATACACAAAACAATAATCTGCTGATAGTGCATCATTGAATATCTGCACTTTTTGAATGGAGCCAAGATAGCCTGAAAATGTCCGCTGCACCTGTCTGTACAATTTATACATGACGATTGTGCACTGAACAACAAGGAGCAAGGCCATTTTGTTGCAACTCTGTGCTTCATGCTATGCAATCATGTGAGTACTCGCAGCACACACTGGGTGAATACCTGGTACCCCGGCCAGGTGGACATGACTTTGTATGCAGCCAGTATGCACGAAACATTTCTTTCATGATGGTGAACGTTTCCTGATCGGTCAAATGAATGTTCCCGGCCAAAAATATTCACAGCGTCTACTCAAATTTTGTCAGTAGACAAAATAGTTCTCCGGTTTCTCCGGTAAGCTATAAGCACTCGGTAATGTCCCTTCAGTAGGATGTAGGGTACTCCGCAGTCCCCACTTACTTCATCGTTTCCTGACTGGCTCCAATAGGAGCAGAAGTTTGCGTGAATGACCAAGACGCTGCGCGCTGGTACGATGCCTCCGCCATCGTCTGCGGCGCCTAAGCGTACGGGAGGCTCATTCCCAACCTGGTCGCTGGGCTGCGGACATTCGGCCATTATCTTACGTTGCCTTCTGAAACGAGGGGACCAGCGTGCAAAGAGCAGTCTAGCCCAAAGCGGAAGTTGGCAGCATGGGTAAGCAGTGTAGCAAGCGCTCCGGGGACTCGCACACACTATTGCTTGTATTAGAGTGTTGTACATCTACTCCCGAGTCGGAGCGAACTGTGCGCTGTTGTGAGTGTTGACACCGAAACATTTCAAAGCATTTCCGTTCGCGGAAAACGAGCCGGAGCGCAACTGCTCTGTGTCACCACTACGGCACTAGCACTGTCACTGACCAGGGAGTAGTATTTTTAACTATTTTACTACTCCCTGGTTGTCGCATTCACACTCACACTCACAGCGTCAATTCAGCACTAAGTCTTGTACCGTGATTGTATTTGTGGTACAACGACAGCCTGTACACTCTACAGGGTTTCATTCAGCAGTCCTGTACTATTATGAAGACCGTGACATTGGTGCATGCTATGCGAGTTCCAGGCCAGTGACCGTTCAGTTAGTCGTGAAATCTCGGCTTGATACAAGTGCTGGATTAGAACTTACAAGTTGGCACCAAGACCAGAGTAGGACAGGCCATCATCCCCCTCTCCCTCTCCCCCCCCGCCCCCCCCCCCCCACCCCCAATCCAGCGCAGTGCGAATTTACCATGAAACCAGGCAGCGGCTGGGATAGAACAGTACTTTCCACTCCAGTCTTCAAAGAAAAAGAGGCCATTGCCAAGCACCCACATCGCCACTGCTATTATTTTTTGAAAAAGGAGAAAGTCCGGGGAAAGTGACCAGCAGAAGATCAGGATTTTTAAAAGTCTTCCACAGGAGTGGCCATACAATGTATTACAGTTCTGTGTGTGTACATGTCACGTATATACGTGTCTACAGCATTGGGTACATGTACATGTATAATTTATATACATGTCACGCATATACATGTGCATGTACATGTCACGTATATACTTGTAAGTGCGTACACAAAAATTAGTAAAAGTGGAAATGAGAAGCGGATAGCGGAAAGCGGAAATTGCACATGAATGCGTTCGGCAAATCCTTAGCAAAACGCAGCAAGCAAAACAGGAAGAACCGAAACAAATTTGAAAGACGAGAAACAGAGGGAAACAGCGGAGAAATGCCATACCAAAAGTGCATAGATTCGAAGTGAAATTGCGCACAAACGGTCTAAACGATTTTACTAACACGCCATCGTGAACAGAGAAAGGTACAGGTGAGGTGCAGTATATAAAGTCGAATTACTATCTCACTGTCTGTAGAAAAGAAAAGAAGAAAAAAACCCAAGCGGCAACTGTAATCAATATGAAACAAAAATAGCATACTTGAGATAGGTTCATGACTTCGTGGCGGTAATTACACATTTCTACAGGGTTTGGGGTAAATAGGTACGAATACACATGCGAAAAGTGCTGAAAAGGGAATCCCATCCAATACCAGCTATTTGGTAAGACTTAAAAAAGACAGCTGCAGGAAAGTGGACGGCTCTAATGACGATTCTTGCATGGATTACATTTCTTTATATGCCGAAGAAGCTCCGGAGTTGGACATGCCCTCCACAGCCTCCTTGAGAGCATTGCGGATTTTAAGAGGAATGCTGGAGCCCTCGGCAAGCAAATCCGACATGTCGTCATAGCAGGCACGTAGCCCTGCAAAGTTGAACACGTCGTGTTCGGCGAACATCTCGGCGATCTGGAAGATGAGGT